TCGGGTTCAGACAGTTCCTGGATCTTAATGTCATTCAACTGTTACCACCGTCCTTCAACAACTTTGAAAAACATTTATTGCTCCTTAGTTCACCACACAGAAGGAACAACAACTCTGCTTAATTTGTTGAGATTATATATGATTTGAAAGAGTCTCTCTGGTCTTTCCATAAACAATGTAACACGGTTGGTCGTTATTGTGGACCCAACTTGCTTGATATAAGTGAGTCAACCATCAGGGGACCTCTTCATATTAGCGCGGTCAACTAGGCTAGCTTGGTTTCAGAGATCTCGCCATTCTTCTCGTCGTAAAAATTTCGACGTGTTCATACGACAAGCCGGGCTGGCCAGGGTTTGAAATTTTTACAAAGAAAAGAGCAGCGAGGCAAGATTTCAAAAACCGAGCCAGCTCTGTTGACCAGGCTCATATGAAGAGACCCTGAAACAACTGGGGAGGTCAAAAGCTACCATGGCCCACCTTCTGTAGGGTCCCTGGGGAGGGGAGAACAAATTATCGCTTTGTTACATACTCCCTATTCTTTGTGGTGCCAATATCTCGGGCACTCNATAATTTATATATTCAGTGTAAGTAGAAACATATATATATTTAGAAAACAGTCCTAAGAAAATATGCGCGCTGATTGGTTGAAAATCGTGTTTCTATAACTCGATAAAAACACAGACTTAGCACGAGCTGTTTACGTAATGATGGCATGAGCAAAGAGAATTTACGCTTTGATAATCAAAGTTAACAAGTTGTTTTCCTTTTTTTCGTTGCGGTATTTTCTAAAAGAAATAGAAAACAAGTTCTCCGTGCTTCTATCGAGTTATAGAAACACTTGTGAAAGTTTGGGAGAACTCGAAAAAGCCGTGGAAACACTCACCTGTGGCTCGTGTTCCCACAGCATTTCTCATTCTCCCAAGCTTCCACTCATGTTTCTATAACTCGATAGAAGCACGGTACATGTTTTCTATTTCTTAAATATAAATGCATTTTTTGGATTTGCCATATTAAAACTCTGAGCAAGAAAACAAATCAAATCTAAAACACTGCACTTTAAGGTGGTGACAAATGCAGGTAAATAATTGCCTTCCTGGGGGGAGTGGACTCCCATATAAAAAAGATAGGGTGCTCGTCATGTCTTTTTTAGGGTTAGAAAAGCGGATTTGGTAGGGTGGTAGGTGGGGTCCAACAGTAG